TTTGCTGTGCACCATGATGCAGCTTCCCCTGGAGCTTGAAAAGAATTGTGGAAAGGCACCAAAATCAAGGGGGAGAGCAAGTCAGGAATTTCTGGTTTAAGAGCAGTCCACAGCATACAGCCAGGGGGAGGCTGTTGTCAATACAAGACCCTGCCTGCCCAGGGGGTTGTGGAGTCTCCTTCTCTGGAGATATTCAAAGCCTGCCTCAACGATGTCCTGTGTAACATGCTCTAGGAGAACCTGCTTTAGCAGGGGGGTTGGACTAGATGATCTCCTGAGGTCCCTTCCAACTCTTGCCATTCTGTGATTCTATGATTCTGTTCTAGAGTTCCCAAACTGAAAACAATCATATTTGTATAATCGGGAACTGCAAACAAATCGATAGCCTCTTATTTGATGATTCAAAACGTATCCCAACATATACACTCGAAAGGCTTAAGGAGTTATGCTAGATTCATTTCTGACCCAGGATGCTGGGCTGAGTGTTTGTTAGGGTGTATGCATGGCATCTGAATAATTTTGCATACATCCACCACAAAAACAGTGGAACTGAGGGCTAACAAATAACAGCCTTACCACTTTCATAATTATTGCAGGTTTTTTTACATGGGAGAAATTAAGGCAAAATTTCTAAAGGTTTCTTTCAGAGGATTCAACACATTTGGAAAGCATGGACACACAGTCCCTACACACATTTTCTCTCATCGCTTTGTTTGCTTTTTTCATTTTGAGTTCAAGGATTGTAAAACAGACTAGGGAGGCTGAACTAGAAGCATGATAAGAGACCGGATGGACAACCTTCCCTGAGCAAAAGAAACCACGTGGTCCTCCATGCTCTCCTCTCTAGCTTAGCCAGACGCTAGAATCATAGAATCATTTGGTTGGAAAAGACCTGTAAGATCATCTAGTCCAACCGTACCTGTCCAATACTAAACCATGTCCCTAATCACCTCGTCTACCCATATTTTAAACACATCCAGGGATGGGGACTCAACCACTCCTCTGGGCAGCCCGTTCCAGTGCTTGGTAACCTTTTCAGTGACGGAATTTTTCTTAATGTCCAATCTAAACCTCCCCTGGCACAACCTAAGGCCATTTCCTCTTGTCCTATTGCTTGTTACTTGGGAGAAGAGACCAACACCCACCCTGCTGGAGACCAACTCCACCTTCTCCAGACATGCTCCAGCTCTACAATCTCTTTTCTTGCAGTGAGGGGCCCAAAACTGAACACAGTATTCAAGGTGCAGCCTCACCAGTGCCGAGTACAGGGGCACAATCACTTCCCTGCTCCTGCTGGCCACACCATTCCTGATACAAGCCAGGCTGCTATTGGTCCTCTTGGCCACCTGGGCACACTGCTGGCTCATATTCAGCCATCTGTCAACCAGTACCCCCAGACCCTCAAGCCTGTAGTGTTGTATGGGGTTGTGATCTTATGGCTGGGTTGCATGTGAACTGGTAACCTGCTCTTCGTGACTTTATGCAATAGTTGACGGCAAAAGGTATAAAAAAAAATGCTTGTTAAACACTGGAATTACTTAAGATAAATTTGGCACAATGTTAATTACTTTGGAACTATAATGTGTAATAAAGTATTGCTAAATGCTGAAGAACTGGTAGGCATGTCACTCATGATCAGGGTGATAGACACCTCAGATGATCGAGAACATATTGTAATCACGTATTGAGCCAGCATTGCAAACATCAGGATGCCACACAGTGATTAATGTCTAGGGCTTTTTTTGGCTCCATTTATTAGACTTTCCCAGCCCCCAGCTGTTAACTTTTATATGCCGCTGGCTCAGAATATTAACTGTTTATTAGACAGCTTGAACAGGATGCACTACATGAATAGACTCAAAGGACAAATACTATTAGAAAATGTCTTTCAATTATTATCTCTAGAGATGCTAATAGATATTCTTTGGGCTTTACAAGCTACTCTTTTCACTTGTGTCAATGTATTTGTTATCCATAATACTGCTTTGCTAATAGTTTAATTATACAAAGGCCAGATTGTTTTACTCATAGATTGATTATAGAAAAGGATCCCATTTGGAAAGGACAAATAAAGTGCAGTAATTTCTTCTACTGTCTGAATAAAACCTAATGAAACTGGAAAAAAAAAAAACATTTAAACTCAGGAACTTTGGATAGATATTTCCCTATGGAAAAGAAACGAGCATCTTAGAATGACAAAACACTAGCCCTTCTTCCTTCCAGCTACATAAAGGTATTTTTTTAAAGTGTTTTTTTTTTAAATCTTTTATATATATAACATACATGTTTTTAAAACACTTCAGTCTGCTTTTTTGCTGATACACATGCATCATGAGCATAGTGGCTCTTCAGTAAGGCTATCTTTGACTTTTAGACAATAAGCAACACAAAGAAGGATAAAAGAAATGTACTTTGCACAAAACCAGCAGTCTCTAAGATGCAGAAGAAGAGCCAGTGATCTGTACACAGTGGAAGACTGCTTCAGCGAATTAGTAATAAGGAAAAAAGAAAATCTCTTCTGAGCTGCTGATTCTAATACAGCCCAATCAGTAGTGACAAAGAGCCATTACTAGCCCCTTGCCTCTGCGCAATGAGTTTATCATGGCAGTTCAATTTTCAATGGACAATTATCAACATTACTAAGAAAAACCTGCCACTTCTGTGGGCTGCTTGAACAGAGAGGCAAACAGGAGAGGGAATGCAGATTGAAAGCAGGCTAATAACTTCCATCGAAAGGTGACTCTTCCATGACTAAACCCCTTTGATAGGGAAGAACGAGGGAACTTGCATTGCCACTGCCAATGTTGGATCTGTGCTGTATTTTTTATTAATACAAGACATCTCTGCAGAGTCATTAAACCAGCACCATTCTAATTATGCACCAGTGATTAAGCAGATGTGACATTGAGCGAGGAAAATGTTTGATTAATGATCCAGGTGTCTAACTTTGGAAGAGCACATTTAGCAGCGTGAATTTGGGGACAGTGGAGCTTAGAACAGGACAGCTTTTCATTTCAGCCGTACAGTCTGCCTCTGTAATGTTATGATCTGTTAGGATTGCTGGCCACCTTGTCAACAGACAACTTGGCACAGCAACATTTCCCATTTCTCTCTGCCAAACACACACCAACAAACTTACTGAGTCTTCTGCCCTGTTTTCAGCTTTTTATTCTACTTCCATATGAATAATCATTGCTGGAATTCACTTTACCTCTAAAACTCTTAGCTTTTGACTGAGTACAGAGAGGAGCTTTCAGGAAAAAACACACTTAGGTTTTTATTTGTCTCTGTTCCATATATAATTGTTAAATGGTTGCGTGAATATTATCCATTTAGGATCAGTTTCCCACATTTCTAATTAAGAGGAGGTATCAAGCATCTAGAGCTCTCTCAGTCTGCACGACTTAAGGATAAATCAGTTCCATAAAAAGCCCAGAAAAGAGCAACTTTGTGAAAAGAGGCAATGCTCACAGTGTGAAGCAGCCTGTCTATACTGATCCATCATTACTTGGCAAGACTGGTTTAGCATAATGGCCTGAATAGCTTGTCATGCTGGCATTACACTTGACATCGCATGAGCCAAACACTTGCAGCCAAAAGCATATGAATTCATCTGTGAGGAAACTCAAGTCTTGTCATTAAAGTCAAGTTTTATAGCCAGGGATGTCCAAGCAGCTGCTTGCATTCAAGTTATACACTAAAGGCAATACATAGGCCTGACGCAGTTAATCCTCTACTTAGCCAGACAAGTGCTCACACACACATAGCCAGTTAAGAGGGAAAATGCTTCTGCAATACTTTGTGGTTTGTACTTTACAGAAATTCACCTTTTCACCCACTTTTAATTGTGTCTGCCTGTCTTTTTTGGGGTAGGAGGTACCCTGAGGCACATCCCAGCATATGGAAGGGTGCAGCTTACAGAAAGGGAGCCCCACACATGCATGCCATTAAAATACAATTCTCTCCTCCCTTCTCCTTCATCTTTACATTGATCTAGGAAGTCAGCTTCAAGTTCTTTCTCCTGAACTTCTGCTCTCCTCTTTCTAGTTTGAGGAGTTAGAAGAAAAGGTCACCAGGGGCTTTATGCTTTGAAATGAGGAATCTGTATCAGCAAAGGCCAGGAATAGACCAGGAATAAAATCAGCTTTTGTCAAAGACCACTGATGAAAATGAGTCATCCTTTTGGGTCTGCAAAAGATTTCACTAAATTAAAAATACAGAGATTAACAGTAACAGCCAGTGGTCTGCATGGAGTATTTATCAGGAAAGATTGACAAGCTATATGTTTATGCTGCAAAACCCTGATAAACAAGAATTACAGGGTAGGATGTAAGTGGTATCACTGAGAACAGCACCAAGCAAAGCAAAAGAAAATGTAGACTAAGGCATTAAAACATTTCTTAGCAATTACTGCTAGTCAGAAACATATGCAAACCACTCGTGTATATACTGTTTACTGGTCAAAAAGAATAATCCCCAACCATCTAGTTTGCCATTAAAGCATAGAGGAACATGTAAACCAGAGATTAACAGGACTAGGAAATACATTTTTCTTTGCATATTTAATTGCTTAAAGGAAAATATTCATATGGCTTTTGAACACTTTTCCCCTTTTCTAATAGGGAAAAGCTCTTGACATTTTGTGTAGTGTTCCCCCATTTTATGAATCTCTTATTGTAACAGACATCAGGTAGATTCACCAGCACATATGCCAGGCATGATCCTTCAAGTGGCCTGAACAAAGCATGGACTACAGCCAGCAACATAGCCTCCAACATCTTGGTTATTTACACAGAGGTTAAATAAAACAACAAATAACTTCAGCCAGACATCGTGCACTGACAGAGGAATGGATTATACTTTCAATTTATATATAATCTACTCTAGGTTATAAACATTTTTTCTATAACCTTTCAATAGTATACTCTCTCACTCCTGTTGCAGGAAAAAATGTTAGCAGACTTCCACTAAGAAATGAGTAAATAATATATATTACTTACAAAAGTTGTATTTTCCAATAATAACGTAGTTGTATTTGTTTCTACATTCAGTTCAACAACATGTCCATTCCTATTTTTATACACCACTGCTGTATCTGCAACAACAAAGGCATTCACTGTTAGCAAACACATTATTTAATACAGTCATTAGAATATCTTTATTACAATACGTAAATGAGACTGAGAGAAGAATTGCACTCATAGTATCTAGTTTTGTTGATTTGCCTCATGAGCTTCAAAAATATCAGTTTATGCCATATAGCATGTTCACCTCACTCAAAAATACAGTTTTACTTAAATGGAAATATTTTCAGTGGCAAAAATGAGATTGCTGTGAACGAAGTGACATTTTGAATGTAAAACCGCTCTCACCTAGATATCACTGTCACCCTGACACCTTAAGGTCCAACCATATTCACTATGAAAAGGGCCATATACCAAAGTGAAGTTTTGCAAAGAAAAAAGCTTTTGCTGGACACCATATTCACACACCTTCTTAGAAGTGATTCTAAAAAAAACTTCTGTACTGTTCTGTATCTCTGGTAACTGGATTGACAAAGATATGAGCTATATCTAAAGACAGTCCACATCCTGTGTGGTTAGTACTGGGCCACAGAATACCAGATCATCACATAACGTGAATGCTAGCAAAGGAGGGTTAAAGCTAAATAGGTCCATTTGTAGAACAGTTAAAACACTGCGGGATAAACTGTTGTAAGTTTTTCCTTCTACCACTTACTTGATTTATAAGTTTCTGTAAGAAAAATAATTGAATACACCTGAACTAAGGAAAAAAAAAATTTACAAAATTAATTGTGGCTCCTATGAAAAAAGCTTTGTATCTGTTCGTATGAATACTTGCAAAATTACCAACAAATACACAATAACTACATAAGCCTTGATTTAAAAAAAAAAAAAAAGAGTTCCAAATTTCCCACTATTTCTAATACAAGATTGAAAAGATTGAGTGCTGATTCTTTCACATTATTTAAAACCCAGGTAAAAGATTTATATTTAATCAAATGAAACTATTTTGTTATAAAAATGTAGAAAGCATAAGGGAACTCTCAATTAAGCCTAAGGGAAACACAAAAGAACTTTACTAATCCTCAGTAATGTCTGAGAAATTCATTACAGATCCCTGAATTTTATGAAGTGGGAAGTAAACATAACTGGAGAAAAACGTTATGCTATCATAAAAAACATGCTTTGCTTATTCAGAAAAATGTAGCTGTATTTTAATTGACTGCACAGAAACTCTAGATGTACAGCACTAGTGAATGTCCTCTGGTATGTTCTGTAAAATTAATGAAGCTTCATTTTAAAAGCTTACTAAACTATTTTAGGATCATGGCTGGGAAGTGGAGTGGGATTGATGGAGTTTAGGACAGGATTATGAGAGCTGTTGCTTAGGAAGCCAAATTATATGGTGAAGTGTAGAATTAATAGAAACTTCTTGTAAGGAAAAAGATTTCAAGTATTCATTTTGCATAAAGAAAGGTAACACTTTGTAGGAAGTTATTGTGGTTTCAGGTCACTGGCTACTACTCATCATCAACGTTTTTGCAACTTCTTTTTAGGTTTTTTTTGCATTTAACCTTTTATGTATCCTAGCACTGAAAATCCCCAAAGATGTTGTACCATGGAGCTAGGCAATATTCTAGAAAAAATAAAGTTGTCTGGAGAAAGAGCTGTCCCCAGTTATGAGTAAACCGTAATGTGGGAAATGGGTTGTATAACCCAGAGACATTGAACAGCTGGCAACAACGAGCCACGTTCATTGCCCCTGCTTGAACAGTGCTCTGAACAATGCATTTCTGGTCCGCAGGTGAGACTAATACTCTCCCCAAATCCAGTATCAGAATGTAACCCCTTCTCAGTCATCTACTTTTCTACATGCCACATACATTTGGCCAACAGGATTTATAGCATCACGCCTCATCAACTAATCCTATCAAGAACATTTCACCCAAATAAAGAACTTTCCCTTAAAATTGCTAACTGGACCATGAGTAAAATCCACAGTCCTAGGGCTCTTCTTGCAAGTCATACACACGGTGTGAAACAGCACTTGGAATTACAAACACTGTGAATGACATAAATTAACGCCTTTTTTCTCAAGTTAGGAGAAATTTTATTCAAATGATCAGAACAGAAAACTGAGAGTCAGACTTCTTCAAAAACCAGAGTTTTCTGGATAGTAATTATACCTCTCACTGAACTTGGGCTTTCATCTCTATATTGGATTCAGTAGTTAACTCCTGAAGTGCATAAATTAAATGAACGCTTGCAAGATGCATGGAGAATCTCAGATGAAAGATTATATCAAAACACCATGCAAGCGTTGAACACAAATACAGTCTTCAAAAGTAGTCATATTAATTTATATGGAAATATCATTCCAGTCAACAGCTTTTCAGGCTGGATAATGTGATAGTTGATGGTCACACAACACTATGATGACTGTTTTCATTGATAGCGCAAATGTAAATAAGAGCCATAAACATACATTTGTTTGGAAATTTTTATAACCTAGGCTCAAAAAGTCTACAGAAGAAAGTAACACTTCATCCTTAACATTGTCCATGTATACAGCTGATTGATTTATTTGGTTGATTATCTTGGTGTCTTCACCACAAAGAAGTTCAGTGATCCCTGACACTTCACAAAACCATTCAGAGAAGTAGAGTTCCTACTTCACAGAAATTCTCGTTTAATTTTAAACAAAGAGTAGTAGCAAGTAAAAACCTCTTGGTTGGCCAAAAATTGCAGCACTGAAGAGCCACATTATCCATCTAAGGACATTACTAACATAGAAAGCATTCTTTCTTGAGCAAAGGAGAATGTGAGGAAATTTCTAGAAAGAACATGAGTCATCAAGTCACCAGCCCTGGATGATGTACACAAAACAGTCTTTAAAACAACTCACTGAAACCTTACTACTCGTGATAGTTCTCAAATTTCTGAAAACTTTGGAAACTCCAGAGCATTGGATGGCTGATATGATTATTCTGTGCTACTAAAAGATGAAGACAGACACCTAAGGGTCTGCACATAAGTTATCCTCACATCAATCCCAAATAAAATATGGCACAATAATTCCATGATTCTTCCTACAAAATACTGGCTAGCAATATAATTAAAACCTGATAGCATTTTATGGAACATAGATCTGGTTAAACAAAGTTTGACGGGGTTATGTTTGATAGAGGCAACTATGCTGAAACTGCATATTGGGTTTTCTTCAAGATATTTATTTTATGACATTGTGATTCCAAAGCTACCTTATAGAGAATTAATGGGAAACACACTAGAATAATTAAAAATAGTACCAATAAAAAAATAAAGAGGAAGACAGGGTACTCCTACCAAGTGATCTGTCTCACCTGGTTAACCGATAATTATTGTAGATGGGAGACTGGAATTGAGAGCAGTTATGGAAAGAAAAGCTTATGGGCTTAGACAGAAAAATACTGTCCTACATGTTCTCAGTGCACTATCACGGCAAAAAGAGTTGATGGCATTCTTCAGCATAAGTGGATCACAAGTAAAAGTCCTAGGGGGATCTTCCCCTCTGCTCACACCTCTGGCGAGATTGACACTACTGTAAAATGTCCAGTTCCTGGAATGCACACTGTGAGAATGGGAAACAAGTGAAGAGGAGTGCTAAGAAATTACCAGTGTAACTCTGGAGCAGAAGGCAAACATAAAAATGTAAGCTTGGAATGGTTAAAATTACTCAGCTTAACAACGAGAAAGTTCAAAGATATCTAGGTCATATATATATATATATATAGTTAGGGAAAAGTTGATGACAGGTACAGAGGTTGGGATGTGTGGAACAGCTCAGCAAAGAATATGACAGAATCAGCAGTCCTGGGATGTTTTTTTCTTGAAGATATGCTTTAGATCTTTATGTCAAGAATTAGTTTAGTCTGAATGTGGGTAAAAATATAAAAGGTTGAGTTTGGATGGTGTTGTGGAAGCAAGTATAGGATCTGCAGGTGTGGCGGATATGTATAAGATCTGCAGATGTGGCTGAGCTGTAGGATCTGCAGGTGTGGAGACTTTGGTTTGGGACCAATGAGAAAAGGGATAAATAGCAATGGGATCACTCTGATTGTGCCTATGCAGGAACTTGGGGTCCCTGCCTTCTCTGCCACATGCCTGCAATGCCACAGGATGGCAGTTGCGATCTCTTCTGGCCTGGAATCTCTGGATTTAACTCCCTCTCTTGATTTTCTCATCCACTTCTGCAATGAATCTTTGGGAATACAGGATGGTCTGCACAATATCACTCATGTTTGTAGCTCTGTGCTAAGACAATTTTAATAAAAATCTCAAACCTTTGGTTTTTTAGTTGACTGCCTGTGGGATCAAGGGTTATTTATTTTTCCTTCTGATGCATATTTCATCTCCTGTTTGTGCCTTCTACTCCACTTTCCTACAAACTATCAAATATTGATCTCGGCTGCAGATGGGATACTGGGGTTGGTTAGCGCTGCAGCCTCATTCAGAGCATCCGTGTGGGTGTATGCCTGGTATGACGCTCAAAGGCACAGCATGCAAATTCCACAATCTCAGAAGAGAAATTTTTCCCAGGCAGACAAAATGGACTACCTCTCTTTCTCCCTTCCCTGCCTTACCCTGCCGCAGGTGGTCTAGTTTACCTGCTGAGATGGTTCGGGTGCAGCTTACCAAATTAATTCACTCGATTGCAGGGGAAAAGATTGCCATAAATACCTTTCTTGTTCTCTCCGTTGCATATTTAAGGTTTTTCATCAGAACTGCAGTATTTAGTTTAGTTAAATGCATTGGTTATATTAGAAGACAAATTTGATGGCAGGTTGAATAAGGGAACAAAGTTGGTGATTCAGCAGTCGCTCTGATGATAGACAGAAAAATGTATGGGAGGCTCAGCTATTATTATAGTTAACTGTATTTGGGAAGAATTTACTCCACCTTTATTTTGAGCTCATTTCTAAACCTGACTCTAAGGGAGGCTGCCTAGTGGACATACAGCTCTGTAAACCAAACCTGCTGCTGAATAGGTTCTCTACAACTTATTTAGCTTTCACAAATTATGCAACATTAA